TTTTTAGTCTGCTGAGTGACACGATCCGAGACTTGGCTGCAGCTGTCTGGCACCTGTAGTGCTGCCACGGTCAGTCCCCTTGCTGCATAGGATTCTGCTGCTAAGGCGTTCTTGAGTCTGTGCACCGGGCATTCATTCACTACCTGGATCGCTGCGCCTATGATGTCAGTGACCCTCCGAGAATATACAAGCACTTCAAGTTTCTCTGCACAGGAGGGTGGCTGCAGAGTGCTGTCCGCACTTGCAGCTGCCAGTGCAATCATCTGAAGCTGATGGAGGAGACAGTAAACCCAGAGGGCAAGATACAGAAGACTGGCATCAAAGACTTGATGGGCCTCTCAGGTCAATACCCTCCTGCTCTAGGAGCAGCTATGATAGACGCCTGGAAGTCCCGACATGCATGGCGACCACCAACCGCGCAAGCTCCAGACTCAGCCCACTTGAGCAACTCATGGGCATTTTGCTGTCCCACTCACGGCACCAAGCGAAAAGGCACCGCTGGCAGTGACAAGGAGGCCACTGCGCAGCTGCAAAAGCGGGAAGAGAAGGCTCCAGCCTCGGCTTCTTGCATTGCGCCCCATGGCAAATTCCCAAGATCAGTGTCTCCAAGGCTCAGCCTCCAGCTCCAGTGCATCCAGCACCTGCAGTGGTCGGAGATCTCAGTGCTGATTTTGATCCCTGGCACCTGGATACCAGGCGGCAATGCAGACTCCCATGTTTGCAATTCTGCTTCGTACTTGCGACTTGTCTAAGGATGCCGAAGAGGCACCCAAGCGAACAGGTGCCACTGCACAGCCACCGAAGACTAAAAAGACTCCAGCCAAGGCTTCTTGCATCGCATCACTCAGTCTGATGCAAATTCCCACGCAAGACTGAGATCAGTGTGTCCAAGGCTCAGCCTCCAGCAGCTCCAGTGGCTCCAGTGGCTCCAGTGCATGTAGCCAAGACGTCTTCAGACTCAGCTTCTGCTGAGTTTGACCCCTGGCACTCTGATGCTAGGCAGCAATGAAGACTGCCAGGTCTTGTCTGCCAGGCTCAGGCAGCTTGCAGCTTGTCTAAGGATGCTGCAGCCGCTCACCTGCCTTCAGAGCCAGGTGCTGACTCCTGGGACCCCTGGTGCTCCCGTAAGGAAGCCCAAGAAGCTGTGTGGGACCCCTGGTGTCAAGTTGAAAGCAGTGCTGAAGGTGGCCTGCAGCACAGTAGTCATGAGTCCTGGGACCCTTGGTCCTCCAGTGCTAGTGCTGAGCCATGACATGCTCACAGGCAGGAGGTGGAAAAGGAACCACTGCAGCTGCTGCCACTACTGCTGACTCTGCATCATCGCACTTGTAGCAGCCCGCAGCTATTTGGCAAAGAAGCATGTCAGGGGCTGATCCGTGGGATCCTTGGGCAGGCACTGATGGCAGCACTGGGGATCCTTGGGATCCTTGGGCAGCTGAAGGGGCAGCTGCACAGAAGCCTCGCCGAGGCAAACGCCAGGCACAAGATGATGAGCCCCAGGAGCTGCAGGCCCAGTCTCGCAAGCAGGTCCGTCTCGACTCTTCCCTTGAAGTGGCAAGTAAGCTGTCAGATCGGTGTGCTGGCGAACATGCACCCACTGCATATGAGGTGAGTGGAGCTGACCGGAAGCGCATTCAGTCCGTGGTCGCCACGGCCTGCAAGCGCAGGGGCTGCAAAAGGCCAGGCTGCAAGGCCAAGATGCAGCTTGATCTAGTGGTCCAGTTCGTCCAGCAGTACTGGGGCCTGCTGAGTGATGAGAGGGCCCACTTGCTTCGCTGCACGTACAACGATGTAGCTCCCAGCTCGACTGGAGACATCAAGATTGCAGAGCGGGCAGAGTGGACAGTGTGCGGGGAGTTGGTTTGCTTCACCCGCTTTTGCGCCATCATTGGCTGCAGCCAGCGCACTGTGCGCAACGCAATCGCCGGGCAGCCAGACCTGAGGCGGTCCCGCTCTAGCAACCTTCCTGCCCAGGCCAGGCCAGCTGAGCAGGCTATCAAGTGCGACATGTTTTTTCACCAGCTTCATGCATCCGCTGCAGAGCCAATGCCCGAAGATGAGCAGGCCTATCCCGCTGTCCGGTTTGTGGATGGTCGAGCTGTTCCAGCTGCAAAGGGGTCCAGGAGTGCAGAAGTGCAGGAGACAGACCCAGAGTCTCCTTTGGCTCCAGGGGCTCCAGTAGCTCCAGTGGTGGCTGGCAAGAAGAAGCATGCAAGGCCTCCCTGATCAACATTGACCCATGGGAGGACTGGTCCTTTGACTGGATGGAGACATCATTCCTGACACCAGCAGCCAATGCAGTGGTCCTAGGCCTTCCAGTGCGCAAAATCCAGCACTGTCGCCTGGTAGACCTTTACTGGCAGATGTGCTCTGAATGGGAAGTGATGATAGAGCGCCGGCCTGATCTAGGCGCGAGGCCCTCATATCATACATTTGTGCGACGCTACACATCCCACTGGAAGCATGTTTTGCCCCTTGGCCTTGATTAGCTGTTGACGGTTCTTCATGGTGTGAAGCTATCTCACCCTGCCAAGTCCAGGCAGATGAGAAAAACGTCGCAGCATGGGCAGTGCAAGATCTGCTTCGATCTCTACATGGCCCTTCGAAACCCAAGATCCTCTTGGGAAGCCAAGGCGGAAGCAGCACGAGTGCTTTGCACTCACCATCGGGAGCAATATACGGATCGCATGCTGTACTGGTCCCTGAGGTGGTCCAGCATCAATGCTAAGAACTGCCTGGTCATCATCATAGATGGCATGGGCAAGTTTCCCACCTCCTGGCCACACCTGGGCCACGACAGGGTGTCACAGGAGCTCGAGAACATCGTCAAGCCGAAGATGGTGATCACAGGTGCCCTAGCACATGGCTGGGGAACATTTCTGTATGGCACCGCCGAGCAGCACAACCATGGTGCAGAGACTCGGACTGCATGCAGTGCCCATACTCTGCACAGCAAGGCAGCAGCAATAGCACAGCTAAGGACCACTATGGTGAGGTCCTCTGCCGCGTGCTAGACATCATTTTTCGGTCCAGTAGGTCTAGTGGTCAAGTAGTGCCAGAGCACTTGATCCTTGTCGCAGAAAACACAGTGGCTCAGTGCAAAAACCAGCAGACCTTGCTCTTTTTAGCATACCTCGTGGCGAAAGGGTACTTTGCCTCAGTCACCCTCTTTCACCTCATGGTAGGTCACACGCACGAGGCCAGGGTGTGTCCATGCTTTGTGGGCTGATTTCTGCCTGCACCTTCTGGCAGGACATTGACCAGCTGTTTGCCCTCATCAAGGCAGGGCCCACGCATTTCAGGCTGCACGTGTTGGCTAAGCCCTGGCCAGGCAATCCTGGCCGGGATGCGGACGTGGCAAACACCCAGGGACATGCTTCAAGGTATCAGGCAGAAGCTGGAGCCACGCGTCAGGAGCAAGGGGGAGTTCTTGATCACGGACGAGATCACCGCTGTGCACGACTTCAAGTCCTGGCTCGCGCCCTTGCCAGTTGCTGCGGCCTCAAGTTGGCTTCCTCACTTGGCACTCCATGGGAGCACTCATGTTCATGTCCGAGTCCGAGCCGCGTGGGCCACACTGCCCTAACCAAGGAGATGTCAGGCTGCTTCAAGCCAAGATATGGCATTCCTGCTCCCCACTGCTTCATGCTCATGAAAGGTCGCCAGCTGACTCGTGCGCACAGCTCAATGCTAGACGACACTCCAGACCCTGATGGCGTGTACGTGTGCATAAAGTCCTATGTGAGAGACACAGTGCTTCAGCAGCCGCCCGAGCTGCTGCTCACCCCACTCTTACTCGGCAGGATGTCCCGAAGTGTGCCTGGTCAAGTCCTGCCACGTCGAGAGCTGGGCGACTCAGAGATCAAGAGCTTCCTGAAGCTGGCCCAGCTGTGCATCAAGTATGGCATGCCCCTAGCAGAGAGTGCTCTCAAGGAAATGGTGTACCAGAGGGTGTACAGCGTTGTCGATCTTAGCTGGCTTGCTGAGCAGGTTGGCCGAATGCGTGGTCTGCGCAATCTTGCCACCGGTGATCATTTTTTCCCGCACTTGCCAGACTCAACCTGGCAAATGTCAGTGCGGCTGGGGTGATTGAGCCACTGGGTCAATACTTGGCTCTAGTGGCTCCCGTGGCTTCAGACATTTCCAATGCGCCACCGGGCCAGGGTGAAGTTGACTCGTCCGCTGGGTCAATATGTTTTTGTGTTTTTTTTGCAAAATTGCAAGTCAGCATGGCCCAGCTACTCCTGTCAGCACAGCCCAAGTAGCGGCAAAATAGTTGCTGTTTTTGAGGCGGGTCATCGAGTTGAGGCGTAGACTGACCACTTTCTGAGATGTCCGGGCCCAGAGCTGCCTGGTCATCACTGATGCTGTGTGCAACTTGCCAACACAGACCTGTGCGGCCAGTGACTGGACAAGGTCATCAGAACTTGGCCACAGCTTGAGCTGGATCCAGTGGATCCAGTGGATCCAGCTGGCCCTGGCCCAATGCTTCTCATGCTGACGAGCTCCTGGACTTCTGCCCTGAACAGCTGCGCATCCAAAACACAGCTGCACCGGCAGCTGCAGTGATTGCCGCCTTCTAGATCCAGCACACCAGTGTGGAGTGGACATTATTGGAGCGGGGATCAAGTGAATCTCCATCTCAGACTTCTGGCCCAGCCCTCAGAAGACCCACAATGATGATGTTTGCCCCCTTGGTGTTGGAGGTGAGCTTTAGAAGGCCCAGCAGGCTCCGTGTGTCAACCAAGGCTTGGTCCTCCTGATCCGGCAGCAGTGTAGCCTCCATCATCAAGTCAGTAAAATGACAAGTGCCGCAGCACTGCAGCTGCCAAGAGCCCATTGCAAGCATGGTCATGTCCACAGATTGCAATAAGGTCAGCCACTGCACATCGGTGGAGCTTTTGCAGCTCCAGTGGCTCCAGTGGCTTCAGTAAGTCACGGGTCGGTAGTGGAGCTTAGCTGCACTGCCGATGAGCACTCTGGAGGACTTGCTCAGAAGCATGACAGTGACACGTGGCCCCTGTTTGCACCTCAGGAGAAGCTCGGCAAGGTCTATGAGAAAACCTTTGCAGAGATTCGCTCCTCACTGTCAGGAGACACCTATGCCAATGTCCATGACTGGATGCAGGCAGAGTACTTGGCGAACCCTGCCCAGCTGATGTCTGAGCTGAAGGAGCTGGAGGGTGAGTGCCGGCAGATACTTGGGCTCCCAGGCTCCAGCAACATCCAGAGCACAGTCCCTGACTCCTTGGTGACTGACCAAGATGTACCCCGACGCTTCAAGTTGGCCCTGTGGCAGTTTGGCTTCCTGGCTGACAGCCAGCTCAAGGGGCCTGTCCAGTCATACGCAGTGTCCCTCACCTGCACCCAGTGGCTGTCTTGTGTGCTGAGTTTGTGAGTGCACAGTGACATCTATTTTGTGGCCAGCCAGGCGAGACAACTTGCAGAAGCTGATGGTGTTCAAGAGAGGCAATGAAACGCATCGATATCCATTGGAAGTGCTCTTCCAGTTTCCGTGCAGCCTCAATCCAGCAGCTGGTCCAGGCTCACTCCTCAGCTGTTGTGCCATCAGCCAATTCCCCACATGGCAGTGCCAGAGTTGAGCCATTGCTGAGGCTCAGAAGTGCAGCCATTCACGGTGGCACTGGCCATCGGATCTGCTACAGTCATGAGCTGCTTTCTGTTCGCAATCTTCAGCAAAAGGCTCGACATTCTCGCAGAGCACATCACGGACGAAGAACTGCAAAGGGAGTTGGCCTTGCGCCTGATGAAGACCCTTGTGCTCCACACGACGAGCTCTGGAGATGACAATCCCGACAGAAGAATGCTTCAAAGCCTGGGGGAGAAGCGTGCAGCTGCGCAGCGCACGCATCCGAGCCCCTTCCAGCACTGGTACGTCTACCAAAAAATCCTCAGCAAGCAAGTCAACCCACGTGGGCCGGGGCCTTGGGCCCAGTCAAAGCTTGCACGCACTTGCTTCCTGTGAGTCAGGTCTAGGGAGCAGCGCCTGCGCGACCTCATCCGTGAGCAGAACGCATCCGCGGTGTCAAAAGCTCGAGTGGGCACAGAGGAGATGTCAGTGATGATATTCCTGGACAGTGCAGGCCCTGAGACCAGGAAAATCATTGCGGCAGCCCACCAGAGCGAGGCGCCGCAGTTCACGGCGTTCCCGTTGTCGCTTCTCACCAAGGACTTCTTGCACCCGTATTACCCGAATCCAGTGCAACTTGGCACAGCCCAGGCCAGCGGCACTCTCCCAGTGGCTCCAGTGGCTCCAGTGGGTCTAGAGGCTCCAAAGTAGCCTTCCGTCTTGACTTTTGACACCAACTCAGGAAGAAAGAGGAGAACCCGGTCTGGCATGCGATCCACGGCCATTCCTGGGAGAAGGTCGAGTGGTGGGCCCGAAGCGTCTATGGCAAATGGGAGCATAAGATCTCCCAAGTGATCCAGGCTGGGCAGGTTCCAGCCGTCAAGAGCTCGACAGGCTGCGCGCCCTTCCGAGATTCCGGCAAAGAACTGGAAATCTACTGCATGGCCCAGCTCATGCAGCACTACAACCACGCCTTCGTGAAGATGTTGCCACAGGACCGCTACAAAGAGCTCATGACCATGTGGAACAGTGGCCTGGTGGACTCGAAGGTCATGCCCGCCATCATGGCGAAGCGCAAGGAATTTGAGCCGAGGGATCTCGCCTTCCTTGCCCTGCAAGACGATCGAGCTCCCCGCGACTTCCTCAATCCAGCAGGGACTGCTGAAAAGCAGGACCAGGGGGGCTCAAGCAGGGATCCACAGCTTGGCTTCAGTGCTGGGCAAATAAGCACCCCCACTTTAGGGAGCACCCCCCCACTTTAGGGAACTCACCCCCCTTCTCAGGAAGCTCTCAAGCGCCTGGTCAAGCAGCTCCAGCATGAGCAGCGCGCCTGGCGGGTGTACTTGCAGAAGGCAAAGGCCTCCGACGACATGCAGAGGGGCGACTGGAACGTCCAGGTGGCGAGGCAGCAGGAGCGCCTTGAGGAGGCCTGGCAGAGCCTCAGCAGTGCCTGGTGTGTCACGACAGCCGCCAAGGACACTGCTGTCCGGGAAATTGATGTCATGACTTAACTTGTTGCCTTGCTGTCCTTGAGCTAGCTGTTTTGGCATGCAGGACCTCAGCACAGCCATGCCACACGTCGCTGCCCACCGGCACATGCTGGCAGATGCGGCAGATGCTGTCCAGGTCCATCAAGTGGTTCAAGTGTTCGAGTGGAACATTCCAAAGGCAGGTGGGGAAGCCTCCAAGAAGGCGGAAGAAGATGGCTATTCACATAGTGCCCCCTGCTTGCACTGTTGTGCTAGGCTTCAGTCATATATACTTGAACCAGTAGTGGACCTTGCCATGAAACCCGCGCGTGCCGAGGATCCCGCCTTGCCAGCCATGCTACGGGAAGATGGACAGCTCAGGAGACGAAAGGGTGGAGAGCACAGCCAGGCATGTGGAGCTGTGGCTGGATCAACTTTCAAAGCCTGAGCACAAGCTCCTCATCCGCAAGGTGAGGGTGACCTGGAGCGCGGAGACATTTTACAGCCCAGAGCGGGAGCTTGCCTGGGAAGCATGGATCACACTGTCATCCACGACCAGGGTGCCCAACAAAGCCAGCTCCTTCAATCACGTGCTGGGCAACAGCCCACTTCTGAAGCGCGGTGCTTTTCCAGTTTTCATCAACGCCATGGCTCGGAAGGACTTCCGCAACTGGAAGGTGCCGCTGGGCTTCGATGGTGCTGGAGGCTCCAACAACGCCTTGTCCATTGAGCAGCTGCAGTGGTTCAGCGGCTCTGAGCTCCACTCACAGTTTTTGCGCCACCTCTTCATGGGCTCCAGCTTGGGGAAGCAGAGCCGGGTTCAGGTCATCGACATGTTTCTTCTCGACGACCAGCCTGGAACAAGTGTGGTGGACTTGAACTGCCTCAGCGACCGCGGGCTTCCTCAAGTCGGGTACTGTGGAATAGTGTGGATCCAAGAGAAAGCACTTGTGAGGCAGGGGCTTGGTGTCCAAAAATGTTTCTGGGAGGCCTTCCACCTCCAAGTGCCTAGAGCCTTCAGGAATGTCATCCTGGAGAATGTCACCACATCCCTCTCTAACATGTACAAGGAAAAGCTCCGACAGAAGACGCTGCTCTTGGAGACGGGGGTCGTCGTCCCGGAGGTTGGCCAGGGGGCGGGTGCACAGCACACAAAGCCTGAGTATGACCCCAAGGACTTTGAGCTGTGCTGGCCAAGGGCAAATCAGGAGCTTCCACTTCGGCAGACCACTGTGGATCAGGCAGAGAAGCTCAATGGCATCTCCATCACAGACTCCAGTGGTCAAGGGATCCAGTGGTCCAGCCTTCAAAAGGCCCACAACGACGAGTTCTGCCCCAGCGGTGAGGCCTACAACCCTGCCAGCAACAAGAGGAGCCCAGAGTGCAGCACCGAGGAGCTGCAGAAGCAGACCAAGCCTGCAGTGAATCTCTCAGCCAGCTCAGCCTCCAGATGGCCTGCTGAGCACTGGAGTTGCCACGGACGACTTCCAGCTGATCTTGGCACCTGACGGCTCTCTTTACGTCAAAGCCCTCAAAGACTCCTGCCTGGAAAGCAGTGCAGCACTGTTCCTGTGCAAAGGCACGTACAAAACTGGAGCAACCGCCAAGGCAGAGAAGGGCAAGCCTGGCTCCGCCTTCATTCCCTCCGAGATGAGCCAGGACACCTTGGTGGTTGTCGACTTGGGCGGCACCCGCTGTCCGAACGGTGCTCCTCCCAGTTTTCCAGTGCCTCTTGGAGCTGCCTTGCAATGGTTTGCCGGCGCGCGTCTTCAGGTCGGTGCAATCAAGGTAGCCGCCACAGATGATGTCATCTACCAGCTGGATGTGAGCCGCAAAGATATGGACCCAAAGGCAGTGATTGCAAAGGAAGCACTGTCCAGCTACGTTGACTATAGCAAGCTCACCCATCTCAAGGCAATCCAGCGGGTGAAGTATGATGAGAGTGGTAAGGCGCTCAAGCAAGGCATTCCCGCTGTTCACGCATCCCAGTCAATTCGTCTCAAAAAGGACGAAGTGTATAAGATGTAGGGGCTCTAGTGCCTCTAGTGGCTACAGTGGCCACTCAGTTTTGCTTCAGCTCAGAGGGCGGGCAAGGCCCTAACAAAGCACGTGACCATGGTGAAAAAGATAGCTGACCACCAGGGCTCGACTTGTTTGAGGCAAGTGTTGTTTATGCTGCATTGCCCGCGGCTCTTGAATTTCAAGAAGCTCGAGAAAACACCCTTAGGCCCCGGCTCTAGTCTCGCCATGATGATGTCCTTCTCCATCGCTCCAAAGCCAGACCTGTCGTTCTTGAAGCACTCCTCGCAGGACATATATGGAGAGTTGACACAGCGGGAGCAAAGGGCAGCTGATCAAGTTGCCCGTTCCCTGCAGTGCCCAGAGCCTGAATCTGCATCCAATCCGGAAAAGGCCAAGGGCAGTCCGCAAAAGGCCAAGGGCAAGGGCAAAGCCAAGGGTCAAGCCAAGCCCCAAGCCAAGTCCAGTGGGAAGACTGCTGCCCCAGTGCAAAAAAAGCCCAGCAAGGCTTTGATGAAAAAGCCTGCCAAGTCTTCCTAGAGCTAGCTCAATGCAGCTTTCAGCTGGACTCGCTGTTTTTTTCAGGAAATCATGCCTTGCTTCAGGAATCAGTTGCTTCAGGAAATCACTTGGCTACAGTGGGTCCAGTGGCTCTAGCTGGACAAGAGTAGAAAGGGCCCTGCGCGGGGATTGAAAAAATCTACAGGCAGCCCGTGCACGCTTTTATGTTGCCGGTGCAGTGCAGCAGTTCTGAGTGCCACAATTTCAGCACATTGCTCTGAGGCTTGCGGCGCCATGACTTTTGACATGTCGCCGGTGGCTTGGAGTGAGACTGCTGCACTGTGGCAGCTTAGCACTGCATGGGCAGCAAATCAAGATTACTGAACTACTTGACATACAGGATCCACTCAAAGCTTCTTGACTTTGATCTCGACGCATAGCCGGCGAACCGTCTCAGGTGCAAGGCACGCCTTCACTCGCAGGACTTTGCTCACCTTCGTGGCAAGAGGCCGCCATCCAAACTCACCCTTGTCGCGCTGCGCCTTGAGTTTCTTCACCTGCTTGATGCTGGCCTGGGACGGCTTGAGCTTCTGAATCACACTTTTGCAGCCGTTCACCTGAAGGGAAATCCAGCCGCAACAATGTGTTATTGCCACTTTACTTCCCTCTTCTAAACATGGTTTTGGAGCTTGCCCGCCTTGGGGCTCCCCTTCTGTGTGATTTCCTTGGTGGTTTTTACCTTGTTAGCCAAGCCCTGGGACAGGTGATACACCACCATGTCTTTGTTGAACTCTTGAGCTGCGCAGTGCACCTTCCTGATGAACGACTGTGCCGGCGTAGGGCTGTGAGTGAACAAATCCGGTATGTCACTGCACACAATTTCCACATTGTGCTTCCGGCTCGCCTGCCAGGCCTGCTCTGCAGCAATCTGCGAGCGCGCCAAGGCACGGGCAGACTCAAGAAATATCTTGACCTTGTCAGCGCAGCCCTTGAGCATGGGGTGTGTGCGCTCAACTAGGCTCTTCAGGGCAGCACGCTGGTCATAGGGAAGGCTCCCACTCACCACTTCTGACAGCTTGACTTTCAAGGGCGTTGAGTCCCTTTGCGCTGCCTGTTTGGCCGCTGATGTTTGACGCTTGATCGAGCCTGCTAGCTTCTTTCCGTCACTGCTTGTCCGTGTGTAAAGAACCCCAACCGTCTTTGCACTGGATGTTGAGGACTTTGATGAGGGCTTTTGCGTCACCTTGGTCGGCTTTGGGCAGCGGCCTGAAGATGCTGAGGAGCTCGATGGCTTCCGCACCACTCGTGCCATCAGCTCAGTGCAGTGACTAGATTACTAGACAGGGGGGAGCCACTAGATCCACTAGAAGTGGCCACAGTCAGGCACGCACAGCACAGCTGTCTCACAATGCAGCCGTCTTTAATACCAAAGTTTTCAAGACACCCCTCTTTTGTGAGACACCCCCCTTTCTGAGACACCTACGTTACCAATACTTCACGCATCAGTCCTGGGGTCTGGCCTTTGCAAGCAAGTCCTCTGCCTGGGCATCAAACTCAGAGCTATAGGTGGACACAGAGAGGAGGCATCGCTCTCCAACGTGTTCTAATAGTTTCCTACTTTGTGGCACAGAGGTGTCTGACATGCTTTTGACATTTTCTCATATGTTCTCACATATGCTCACAGTTTCTCATATTTCTCATATTTTCTCATAGTTCCTCATATTTCTCATATTTTCTCATATTTCTCAAGTGACAAAATATGAGAAATATGAGAAAATATGAGAACATATGAGAAAAGATGGGAAGTTAAACTTATGAGAAGGTTTGAGACTGTATGAGTGCCATATGATAAGATATGATACTGCGTGATAAACCTGAATGTATTATGAGAAGTGCATATGAGAAGCTGAGAACAACTTGTGAGACAATGTACGGGTCCATGGGAAAATATGAGAAATATGTGAACTATGTTAGACTATGGGAGATATGAGAAAATATGAGAAATATGAGAAACTATGAGACATGTGATAAATATGAGAAAATGTGACAAATATGAGAAGTGTGTGAATTATGAGAAAGTATGAGACATGTGGGAAAATGTGAGAAATTATGAGAAATGTTAGACAATATGAGAAATATGAGAAAATATGAGAACTATAGTTTCTCATAGTTTCTCATATTTTCGCACATTTCTCATATTTTCTCATATGTCTCACATTTTCTCATATGTTTCATAGTTTCTCATACTTATCATACTTCTCATATTTTCTCATATTTTAACATAGTTTCTCATATTTTCATATTTTCTCAAACGTAGGTGTCCCACGTTCCCATAGTGTCACATAGTTCCATAGGTCTCTCACATGTCTGTCATGGTTTCTAATAGCTATCGCATTATGCACCTCTCACAGTTCTAATATGTGCCCTTAGATCCTCATATGCTCTCTGATGTTCCCTCACACACTTAACATATTTTTAAGAATATGTTCTCATATTTTCTCAGGTGCTCTGATATGTTGTCATATGTTGGGGTATGTGTTTTCTCACATCATATCACAAGTTGTTTGTACTTTCATATATTCACATAGTGTCTCATATGTGCTTCTCATATAGTCTCACACATTATCAGATCTATCATACGTTTCTGATATTTTCTCACAGATTATCATATGGCATTTGTTTTTAAATGTAATTCTCAGATGTTATCGCACTTAGACGTTTTCCATCATATAGCATATGAGTAAGCATGAGAAGCATGTGATAAGACACGGTAAGCTTAACATACTATCTGCCACACGTGCAGTTGTGAGAAATGCGTGATAGAAGAAGCCAAAAGAGTGCAAAACCCAACCCAAACATAAGGATCCTTATGTTTGGGTTGAATTTTGAACTCTTTTGGCTTCTTATATATTTCAGATAATGTAAGGGGAGAAACACCTATGGGTTACACATGAGACCATATGAGACACACGGGAAGAGTATGATGATAATTCTATGCAAGCACATGAGAAACGTATGAAAGGTGCATGAGAAATGTACGAGAAACACACCAGAGTCATTTACCAGTGAAAGCGCGCTGGGTCAGGCAAGCCATGAGTTATAAAAGCTGCACTGTGTCCTCATTAAGCAGGTATGGGCCACAAGCTTTGCCATGCATTGGATGTGAGGTCAAGTGTGACAGGGAACGCAGGGTGCAACTCACACTTGGCACAACAATCCAGGATCTGGCCCTGCAGCCGGACGCGCACAAAGCTCTGAACAAGTGCCCTTTTCAACATCAGCCTCCAACGCACCATCAGCATTGCGGTTCTGGGATGCCCTGTGTGCAGATTTCTACAAGAGACCAACCTGGCCTCCATCACTGTCTCCGTGATCTGCACATGGGCCTGCAGCCGGGCGCCACGTGTACAAGCTCTGCATGAGTCCCCTTTTCAACATCAGCCTCCAAAGGAGCAGGCGGTTCTGGGATGGCCCGTGTGCAGAAAAACAACACAGTGCGTGGAGCAAGCACGATGCCAACCTGGCCTCCATCACTGTCTCCGTGATCTGGGCCTGCAGCCGGGCACCACGTGCACAAGCTCTGCATGAGTCCCCTTTTCAAGCTCTGCATGAGTCCCCTGGGATGGCCTGTGTGGAGATTTTTCTGCTGCGTGGAGCAAGCGAGAAACCAACCTGGCCTCCATCACCGTCTCCGTGATCTGGGCCTACACGTTGAAAAGCAAAAAACCCTGAACCACGATCAAAGAACACCCAAACAACAACGGCCTGCGTGATGGCTGGGATGTCCGGCGGCTTGGCCTGCCCGGCGTGCCAAGCTGACAACTCTGAGGAATACTGAACGCAGCACTGCCAACCGGCACAGGTAGCCGACATCATGTTTCGTTTGGATGAGAATAGCAAGGTTAACTTCCATCAACTGCAAAACTGTACGTTCAGCCACATGTGTGGTAACACACACACACACACTGCCAACCACAATATATGTATATAATATATATATATATATATATATATATATACATATAGAAAGATATACATATGTAGATATATATACATATATATATATATATATATATATATATATATATGTGTGTTGCCTGATATCTGGCGGCAGCCCGCCTTAGCTGTGGCTGGGATGTCTTGCTCCTGCGTCGATCTCCACATCACACGCAACATGTCTGTCCCGGCACTCTGAATGAATGCAACAGTGCCAGTTGTCTAACGGGCAAGGCGCTACCCCGCGGCTAGCAGCCTGACAGGAGGTTTCACGGAGTATTCGTCCGAATACTCCGTGAAACCTCCTGTCAGGCTGCTAGCCGCGGGTAGAGATGGTGGTTCAAGTCCACCCTGGTGCATATATATATATATACCTATGTGTGTGTGTGCACACACATGTTGATAGCATGAGCAAGCATGTGCTCTGAAGTCCATGGCGCCTCCCTCAACTGCATGTGTGGCATTTGTTGCAATTTCTGCTGCCCAGGCTAGCTGGGTGATCAGGCAGGCAA